TGTTTGGCGGGTCCGGGCTGGGGATTCGAACCCGCCACCTTAGGTGTACGTGGCTGGCGCCTTAGCCGGTTGAGCTATAGGCGCCGAGCCAGGATATCTCTTAATAAGTTCTCTCCCCTAAATATAGTTTTAAGTGGAAAACATTTAAAGTTTCAGATTATGCAACAAATATTCACACCGACTGTACATGGAAAAGACCAGCAACATTCAGGAAACTGGCAGTGATTTTGAGCTCTGTGATGGCAGGACAACAAAGGCAAGGGGCTGCAGCTATGCAGTGGGTGGGGAGTTGTTTTAATTTAAGTCTTGTGCGGGGTTTTCTCCCTCTGTAAAATGCTTTACAATGGAATGTTTGCTTGCTTGTGGCTACAGATTTCTAGTCACCTTTGCTACTCTGGTGGAATACTGTCATCCACAGTAATGATGGCACCAATTTATACAAAATGGTTGTTCTAGTCAAGAATAGGTTTTATTTATTCATGTGTTTAGTTGTTTATTTATTTATAAAGCCCAGGCTGGAGTACAGTAGATATTCACAGGCACAGTTATAACTCACGATAGCCTGAAACTCCTGGGCTTATGTAATCCTTCTGCCTCCGCCTCCTGAGTAGCTGGGAGTACAGACATCCAGCTAATAAGTTTTTAGTACAACTTACGGCTGTAAGAATTTCCATTCTGGTCACTGGGTCAGGCACTGATAGTTATGAATCTTCCAGGCTGGGGGTTCGGAAATTTTATTTATGGGAGTGAAGGAACTTTGCTTTGGCTCTCAACCACAAAGTTACTGTTAGCACGGCTCTTAGTCTATGTACAGGATGGGACTTTGAGAGTATAAAAGGATATAAATTACTTTCCCAAGCTGGCACTCTACTTTTCAAAGCAGTTTGTCTCTGTGTCTTTATTGCAGAAGAGTTTCATAAATCTCAATGAATACCAATTTATTTAATCTAAGGAGTGTAAAATTCTTTTTTATAACACTTATAATACTTTCAAATGAGAAAAATTAAAATTTAAAGGAAACCACACACTCTCCTTTCAGAAAGAATAGACAGCTGTCTGGGGTGGATAGGAACAGTCTGCTGAAAGTGGAGAGAGTAAAATGCATGACCTTTCGCAGTTCCCTTCCAGTATATATCAGAGGGAAGGATAATGGGTAATAAAAGTGAAACTAATGTTAACAGAACTTATCAAAGAGGCACATATTAATTTAAAGAGCAAGAACTGTCATTTGAAGTTACCTGCCTCATAAAGGCTTTCTGCAGAATGAAGACAGACTTAAATTTTACAACAACCAAATCTTTAGTCTCTATTTAAACAATGGCCTATTTTTAAAAAGCTTACTCTCTCTTTTCTCTAGAAGGTTCTCAAAATATGCTGCTGCAAAGGCTGGTATATTCTCTGGTTGCTCCCTCAGAATCTCGCGTGTCAGCCCTTCAAGAAGATTCCCAAATCCTTGTGGAATTCGGTAGTGGGTGTTGGAGAATGGAATAGACATCTCCTTGGGAAGAACTGCCTATGGTACCTAGAGATTCATCAAAGAGGATTGTCTTTAAATTTATCTGATTTCACTTACATAATCAGAGCTATGATAAAAAATTATTTCAGAGACCCCAACTGTCTGGACTTCAATTCTTTTTATCCCAACACAACCTAAGTCTATCCATTTCTTCCAAAGAGTTTTGAAATCTCTGTTATGAACTAGATTATTACAAATACAGACCCATTCCATAGGACAAATCGTTTTTAAGAATTACAAAAACATCAAAATTCTTCAATACGACGCAAAGTGCTTTTTCTCTCTGTTCCTCTGTCTTTCTGTCCTTAAAAGGTAAAAGTAATTTTTGCCTCTCTAAAAGAAATTTAAGAGAGAATAATTGCTAAAAAGCTAGTTTAACTGAGAGGACCCTGTTTAATGTCTAACATTTAAAAATGTTTTAAAGGGTAATTTTACCCTTTAAAATTTTTTAATTTTAATTAAAAAATTAAAAATTAAAAATAAAAATTTTAATTAAAATTTTTTAATTTTAAAGGGTAGAAATGAGTCCTGGTTCGAGAAATTACTCTAACTGGTTGAATGGAGAAGTTTCAGACTTAATCCTTCCTTAAGCTGCCATTTCTGAGACATGAGCCATAATGCCTGGAATGGCATGACCCATAAACTGGAATGGAGTTGCAGCGGCGGGTCAGGGTTTTGAAATACTAGCCTCAAGGGTTTTGGGCTTTTCTACTTTTGTCTTGCTTAGGCCTTGTCTTCCCATCTTAGAATACAAGTGCAGTAGGGGATCCAGTTTGGGGAACTAGACGGTTTAACGAAGCCCACTTTGTGCAGGGTTTCTCTCTTTTTCTTCCTTTCTGCCTCCTAACCCCAGGCGGATGGTTCGCTATGTTGCCCAGGCTGGTTTTGAACTCCTGGCCTCGAGCGATCCCCCTGCCTCGGCCTTCCCCAGGACTTGGGGCTACAGGTGTGTGTCACTGCGCCCGGCTGCTCTTTCTTTTTTTGAGGGTCCTGAGTCAGTCTGGGGGTCTGGAAAGGACGGGGGAGACCCTGAAGCAACTGGGGAGTGGAGGGCAGACGGAGAGGGAAGAAGGCAGGTCCAGTCGGGACTGGACGTTGAGGTCTGGACGAGGCACAGTGAGCTGCCTCGGCTCCTAATCTGCCCCGGGGGTCCCTGGCGTGTCCAGGAATACCAGACCAAGGGAAAAGGCGACGTCTCGGCGTTGGAGAGGAAGTGGGGGAAGCCGCCTCACCTCCTCTTTCTCTCCGAGTTGGGGCCGATGGTTCCGGTTGTTTTTCTCGTTGCTGGGTAACCGTTTTTTTTAAAAAAAAACTACGGTGGCCGAGAAGGGGGAGAGGCGCGGTCTCGCTCCCGGCCGCGCGGAGGGCGGCAGGTCCTGGTAGGGGCGGAGTCGGCCGTCCGCGCCCCGCCCCGGCCGCTACTCGCCCCGCGTGGCTCCGCCCCCCGCCCGAGGTCGCAGTGCGACTCCTGCGGATGGGTTGCGGATCCTCTTAGACATGGTTGCGCTGAGGCCTGCCCTTGGGTTGGTGCTTCCAATACTCCTGTGGGCCCACAGAAGTACAGGTGAGGCGGTCCGGCTCGGCCTCAGCCTGTGCGGGCTCCGAAACCCCGCGTCCCCTGTGGGGTGCTCACCCGCGTTCCTCTCAGGGAAGGCAAGAAAGAAGGTCAGGGAAGAAACCGGGCCAGGAGCCTGCTTCTGTGACCCAGGCCTGGCCTGCAGGTGTTTTGTGGGCTGCAGGCCGGGGCGGGGGGGCTTTCTTCACTCCCACCCACTTAACTTTTAAGATGCAACAAGTAGGGCACAGTGAAAGTTGTGTTTATCAGAGCGGGAAGGGCCAAGTGTTCCCAAACCGAGGCCTTCAGGGTCTCAGAGTAGGTACAGGGGAGCTCTGAGGGAAGGGGGCGAAGCTAGTTAGATAGTATTTGAAAACAGGTGACTGAGTCATCCAAAACATTTCAGCGCTGCCCCCTCAGTGGTGCCTTTGGGGAGGGTTTGCTTCAGGCTGGGTTCCTTGGGGGAATTAAATTTTAGTAGTTTTAAGTGGTTATTAGGTCTAAGAAATACAACCCCCTCACTAGCTCAGAATATTTTAGGCTCAGCTTTGATTTCTGGTGCAGCATACAGATAGTGGTGATGAAAGCATATGCGTGGCAGTGGGGAGGAGGGCGACTGCACTGGTTACTGTGCAGGTCAGATCCCTACCGCTGGATGGGTCACAGGACAGAGAAACCGGAAGATGCAATCTGGTTGCTAATGCAAAGTAAAGAGATAAGGTTAAGCTTTTTACTTCTTCCACCTGCTACTGAGAAATACAGATTGAGGTGGGAGAAATGTGAGCAGAAAAATGGCTGCTGCTCTGCCTAAGAATCCCCAAAGTACCCAGATTCAGACAAACTGCGGCCCATAAATGCTTTTTCAGAGTTTAAACAAAAACACAAACCAGTAGCTCTCTGTATGTTGTTCTCATTCCCCACTCAGTGACCTTTGAGATCTATCAAATGAGGTGGGGAGGAGGTATTTTATTAGTTTTTCTGTTAAAAGCTGTTTATTTTAGTGTATTTTATCTCCTTTGAGTTGTGGTTTTCTCATCTTCACTAACTTTGACAACATTTTTCAGTGGTTAGTGCCAAATTTTCCTTCCTTGTCACTTGGTTGTGTATCCTGACATGGTAAATCATTCCTCTATGCCCATGTTTATCATATAATACTTGAGATTAAAAAATATGTAACAGGCTCGGCGCCTATAGCTCAACCGGCTAAGGCGCCAGCCACGTACACCTGAGGTGGCGGGTTCGA